TCCTCTCTTATGGTTTTGGTGTTAAAGACTGAATATTGAGGTCAGGGAATTAAATGCTATTGTGGAGATGTCAGATACTAAAGGAGCACGTTGTATCATTTTGACTGCAGTACTTATGAAAGAGATATATTCTTGTCCACAGAAAATGCGTTCCTTTTTTCTTTTTCTTTTCACAGGGCTTGAGAAATAACTTCAGAAACGGAATCTTGGGACCTAAAAACACATGTATTTCCTTTGAGCGGTAGGCACATGTCCTGAGAGATGTGTTGATGTTTTTACAGGGGGGTGAGGCCATAGGAAATGGGCAAGACTCTTACCAGAATGCTGTACATGTGAGAGGAACATGTAAATCCAGGAAGCCTGCTCTGAAGAGGCAGTGCCTTTTAATATGTGCAGTTATTGACAATATCACAGTCATTGATCAATTTTAATCTGACCTTTAACCTTAAACCCCTTTCTTTTATGTTCCCCTTCCTCAGTGCCTCTCATCCTACCTGAAGGACTCCTTAATTCTTGAGTTACTAGGAAGATAGTTTTCACTTGTGATTCTGTTTTAATCTTTGAAACTTTATAATTAGACTCAAATGGTCCTGTAAGGAAGGTGGTCTGTTGAACATATAGCTGGGCTAAAAATTATAACTAAGTGGAAAAAAAATGGGTAAGAGTGATGTGGGCCATCAGATACAGCTATTCCCTGGGAGTATGGAGTAAGCACAAGTTAGATTCTGCAGAAACGCTCAATCTCATGAAGTTCATGACATTTCATGCATTTCTGATGAGCCTCATTTTTCTGCCTTGCTCCAGGAGCATGGAAAAAAAGTTATATATTTGGCCTCATCTGTGAAGAACTTAAGTAGCTTTAAATGATCATGTTGATTAGTCTACCTTGTTTTGATAACTGGAAGGGCTAGAACCATCTAGAAGCCCGAAGACTGATGGTACCCAAAGCTAGTTGATGGTCAAAATCTATTTTAAAAAATAGATTCCTAGGTCTTTTCCTCAGGAATTCTACTTCCCAGGTTTGGGGATGAGGCAATTTTAAAAGACTCCCCAGACTGCTATAATGATGAGCCAGGTTTGGAAACCAAGAACCTAATGAAGACCATTAGAACACAGGAGGAATATGCCAAGGCCCATGTCATGCCCGCCTTGGGATCAAGGAAAGCAATCCCAGGGGAAGTTCCCAGGTGATTTTGCTGTGCAGCCTGGTGGAGCACCAGCCTCCGAGGGAATCAGAGCCACAGGGAGGCCAGGCCCACTCATTCTCTCTCCTGAAAGTGGCAGTTTCACGAGAGAAGTAGGATGAGAAATGAAACCACATTTGCAAGTTATATTCAAAACAGAAAAGGAGGGAGTCAGTGTTTCTTAAATATTTAGATCCACGGCCTGTCATGCAGTTCCAGTTTTAAGCAACGCCAGTTTAAAACTCCTTGGTGGTTTCTCACCTAGTCTCTGACTTTGATAAACCTCTCACTGTTTCGATTTCCTGACTCATAGGGATGTCTGCAAGAGTGAGGTGATAATGACTGAAACGGGGAGGAGATGAGGTTCAGGGGAGTGAAGAGGGTGTGGGAAGCTGGAGCAGGCTTGCAGACTGACAGCCAGGCACGAAGCTGAAACCACTCTGCTCCAAATCGCTCGTTCTGAAGGGCCACGGAGCACTCCATTCCCCCAAAACTGCACCACGGGAGAAAGAGACTGAGGCTGCATATTCTGACTGGGACCGTGGGGCAGGGGGACAGCTCTACTGAAGGCATCCCCCTCCCCGCCAGGGACCAGAGCCAAGTATGCAGAGAGAAGCAGGGCGGGAAACTACAGGGGTAAGCCAGGAGACCAATGGCTTTGAAAAATACAGTGACAACCACCAGTAGCAGGGGCTGGGTCTGAGGGGGAAAAAAAACGGAGACATGACCCTTGTCCTCAAAGAGTTTATGGTTTAGCAGGGAAGAGAATATTTTGTCAAAAATCACTCTACTGCCAGCTTTGCTCCTGCTACCTGTGTTAGACAACTAATATTGGAACTTATGAAAACTAGAAAATATGCCAACCTTCAGAAGAGTCAGTATTCCTATTTGTAAAACAGGTACAAAGCACATGCTGCAAGGCTGTTTAAAAAAAATTTTATATATATATATATATATATATATAAAATTATATTAAATATATTTATATATTATATAACATATGTTTATATATTATTTAGCATATTATATATATATATTAGTTGTTGATGGACCTTTATTTTATTCATTTATTTATACATGGTGCTGAGAATCAAACCCAGGACCTCACTCATGTGAGGCAAGTGCTGTACCACTGAGCCACAGTCCTAGCCCTGCAAGGTTGTTTTGAGACTTAAACAATACAACACATCCACGAAGAGTCTGGAAGGCAGTGGAGGTATAATGAACAGGTTGTGTCCCTTTCTGAGGAAGGAAGGATGGTGTTTTAGTCAGCTTTTCATTGCTGTGACTAAAAGACCCGACAAGAACAACCTAGAGGATAAAAAGTTCATTGGCTCATGGTTTCACAGGTTCAGTCCATGGTTGGCTGACTCCACACCTCTGGGCCCGAGGTAAGGCAGAATATCATGGCAGAAGGGAGTGATGGAGTTCATGACAGCCAGGAAGCAGAGTTCCACTCACCAGGGACAAAATATAAACCCCAAAGTCACAGCCCCGGCGAATTTCCTCCTCCAGCCACACCGCACCATCCAGTTACCAGCAGTTAATCCTCATCAGTGGCTTCATCAACCAAGGCCAAAGCTCTCACAACCTAATTATTTCACCTCTGAACATTGTTGCATTGTTTTGCACATGAGCTTTTGTGGATACCTCATATCTAAACCATAACAGAAGGTATTTTCTAGAGAGTGGTAGGACACCGTTTTTGAAGGAGGCTGAATTTGAGCTAAGGTTTAGAAATTAATAGAGATAGATAGATATTGAGCCACATGTTGGGGTGCATGCCTGTAATCCCAGCATCTTGGGAGGCTGAGGCAGGAGGATTGCAACTTCAAGGACATCCTCAGTAATTAGTGAGGCCTTAAGTAATTTTGTGAGACCCTGTTTCAAAAAAAAAAAAAAAAAAAAAAAAAAAAAAGGCTGAGGATACAGATCAGTGCTAAATTGCCCCTGGGTTAAATCCCCAGTATACCCACCCCCTCTCACAGCAAAAAAAGGATTTTGACAGGTAGAGATAGAAAAGTGTACAAAGCACAGAGGTAGGTCAGTAAGGCAAGAGTGTGAGTACATTAAATAACAGAAGATGTACTGCTGGCTGCTATAACATCCCTCAATGGTTCCATTCTGGATATAAGGGGACTGTCTCTCCAGCTCTTGAGAGAGTTGGGCTAAAGTTCTCATCTGCTGGGGGAGCAGGGTATGTGCAGGAGAGGGCAAGACCAGTAGAGAAGCAGCAGGAAGCTAAGGATGGAGGCTGAATCCCTAAAACTCAATCTTCTCAGATCAATATAACAAAGCAAACACCTGCTAACCATGAGATTGCTGTAGAGAGTATCCCAGAAACCCCAACCAGCTTCAGGACACAGAATCCCCATGATGATTACACAGCATTACACAGCCACCACTAGGTGGTGCCAAACCCAAGTTCAGACCTGGATAGATCAGACAGGTGCAGCTGGATCCTGAGACCTCCAGACTGGCTGGCTGTGTCAGCTGGCTCTCAGGAACTTCACAACAGTGTAATCACATGGCTTATAACAGTGGCTCTCAAAAGTGTGGTCCTCATACCATTAGCAGCACCCTGTACCTGCTAGAAATGCAGATTCTCAGGCCCTACCTGGACCCACTGAGCCAGAAACCCTGGGGGCAGGGCCCAGTAATCCGTGCTTCAACAAGCTCTCCAGGATGCATGCTAAAGTTGAGAACCCCTGCCTGATGCACGTGAACGTCTGGACTCCATTTCTAATGGTATGGCAGGGTTTCATCAAACCACTGTCTTTGGACAAATCAGTCCCATCTTTAAGGGCCAATAAAATGAGAAAAGAGGTAGTTGGAAAAGAATGAGCTATCATCAAGGTCCCTGCAGACGTAACATACTATATTTTGTCAGTTCACTAATAGGGGAGATGTTTACAATTTTCCTGTTCAAATGGATTGGTGTTGTTGGCCTTCATGGCTCTTGTTGAAAGCGTTCAGTGTGGTGTATCTGAATTCTAATGGCTAATTTAGAAACACCATACCTACCCATGATTCAGCTTCCCAAGCTAGTAATATTGATGCCGTATAAGTAATCCCAATGGAACAGGGGTCAAAACACAGGTTTTGTAGGAATAAACCCAACAAGAGTGCCTGCAATGTATTTCTTGTCTCTGTCATGGTAACACAACCAGAACAAGATCTTCCATCAAATTGAAATTCTAAACACAGGCAGCCAGAATTGATTTAAATGATTAAATCCTAGAACAACAACTTTCAAATAAACCTCTCATCCAGAACCTACTTAAAAGACTTAATAATGACAGTCAATACTTAAAGGTAAATCAAATATGTAAGCCATCTCTGCTTTGCAAATCAGCAGTCTAAAACTTGGAGATATACAAGCTGGGGGAAAAAATGAGCTATGCCTCAAGAAATCAGACTCAGGATGGACGATGAAGTTAAAAAATAATCAGCCATCTGTTTGCCGTGCTGCCCCTCCTTCAGCCACTGATACACATTGACATGTAGCTGCAGCTTTGCAAATTAGAATGCAGGCAGAAGTCTTGTCTGCCTTGATTCCTGGGGTATCCCTAGTCCTTAAAGTAGGGTCGGGCACACAGTCGGTGTTTGGTATACTGGTTAAATAAATGAATGATCCTACAACATTGATGTAGGTGGTGCTGTGCAGCAGAACTTTTGGGATGGTGGAACTGTTCTATAAGTTGTGCTATCTACTATAGCAGCTACATGCGACAGATGGCTATTGAGCACTTAAAAACGTGGCTAGTTTAATGGAGGAACTAAACTTTAAATTTTAAATAATTTAACTTTAAACAGCTCCATGTGGCTAGTGATTACCATATTGAACAGGATGGTTAGCAGAGGATGGGGGAAAACGTGTGTGTGGAAGGGGAAACAAGAACATAAAACAGTGATGTGCTTGGAATGCCGAAAACGTTACCTATGACTCCTGACCCAGGAAGTGATTCAGGTAAGAGCACATGGGCTGGGCAAGGCCTCCTAGGCTCTGGGTTCTTTGCATTTTCCCCTTCAACCTGCTAAAGGCTGTGGCAGTAGCTGCTGAGATGAAGAGACTTGAGTTTCCAATTCCAGGAGGAGAGACTGCATTCCTCTCTTCATGGACACCAGGACCAGTGGGAGAGGGACTGATGGACAGCCAGCCAGGGACAAGTGCCCACAGAATCCAATGCAGTGAAGAGCTTCTCTCTCTCGGCTGAGCTTGCTTTCTGGGTCATTCAACTGTTTCCATTCATTCAAATATTTCCTAATGCTAACGCCAGCCCCTGCTTTCTTATTTTCCTTTCCTAGGGGGCACTAAATCAAAGACTGACCCTCGGGATGGAGTTACGCCTTGGCGTTCCTAGGCTGGCCACCGAAGAGAGGAAATCTTCAGAGGAAAGGGCTGCCTTGCAAAAATGAGATGATTAAATGAGAGACATTTGATCTTAATTATTTTTAAAAAAGACGTGCCTTTTCTTTTCTACCCAGACTAGTGAAGATTGCTGGTCACGTACGTGGTATAAGGCCTCAAATGAAGGCTTAATATTATGCACTGCTTTGACATCTGATAAATTCCGGAAAGCCTCAAATGGCCTAATCACAAGTTCCCTTCCTTACTGTGCTTCATGGATAAGGTCCCCTCCGTCAAACAGTCCTTATCACAGGGAGCAGTCAGTGGAATTATTCATACAAGTATCATGTCCTCCCAAGGGAACCAGGAACACCCATCCCCTCTTGATAGTATAAAACCTGAGTGCTCATGCCACCCCCAAGTATGACCCCCACGAGTCCTTCATGGTGCACAGAACCCTCATCCCTGAGCTATGAGTAAATGTGAAGAGTGGACTCCCGTTGGCCTCATCTATCCAGTGTCAGGCGAAGTGCATTTGGCCCTCCCCATAGATGCCCTAACCCCAGGGTGGCCACGGCTCCCTCACCAGCAAGGCACACTGGAAATGATTCAAACAGGTTATAGATGTTTTTATTAAATCTTCATGAGTAATTCATCAGTTTCTGGTGGGTTAGATATCATTTATTGATATTTAGGATGGTTCCTCTCCTTCTGAGTTCTCCCCTGCACTTCAGGGGCATGAAGCCTAGAAACTGCTTTGTGGAGAGTCCCTTGCCATCAGGATTCCCATTGGATTCCACATCAGAAACACCCGCGTGACATGCAAGATAAACCATCATTCTCTAGTAGCAGCTGAGGGACCGTGGTGGGCAAGAGATGGAGGGTTTTGCCAGAGGATCCTAAGTATCCCCCAGAGAACCACCCATGGGGCTGCAGGCTGTTCCTCTATGACTTGTTCATGTTCGAGTTTCTCAAATTTGCCTTAGCAGATAACTCTGTGTCCTGGCTCCTGCCTCTTGGCTTCACCTCTGATTTCAGCCATGACCACACAGTTCTGTAATACACTTCAGCTCACATCATGCTGGCAGTATCCCTGCTGAAGTTCAGGTGCAACTGCTCATTTCCATTCTCTGTTCTAGGTTCCTCCAACACTGCAGATGCCACGGGAATTAGTTGAGCCCACATACCTGTGTGCAGCTTGGAAAGGCTGAGCTCATATTCCTGAGGTGAGGACCATTCTTGGGAGCTAACATAAAAACCCTCCAACCTTTCACACTTTGGGGAGACCATTCTGGAAGATACCTGTATGCTTCTCATTAGAGTCTGAGAGAATCGAGTTTCTACTTCCCCAGTGCAGCCTCTGGAACATGAGATCATGTTGGCATTCCTCTTCCCCTCACTCTCTTACTGTTGTTCCTTGGGATCATCTTTCAGTTAAGCTCTCAGCTCATAAGTCCTGACCGCAGACCCTGCTTTGGGAGGATCCAAGCTACGACAGTGGCCTTCCTGACCTTCCCTTGCCCCACCTTCCAAAGGTTATGTAAACTTTTAATTCACTAGGCATGGTAGCAATGCCTGTAATCCCAGTGATTGGGGAGGCTAAGGGAGAAGGATTGAAAGTTCAAGGACAGCCTGGGCAACTTAGCAAGACCCTGTCTCAAAATAAAATAGAAAGAGTTGGGGATGTAGCTCAAGTGACATAGAGTACCCCTGAGTTCAATCCCCAGGACTTCGAACAAGAACAAAAATACCTTTAATCCCCTGTATGAAAATGTTTCCCGAATGGATGGAACGAGAGATCATCATGCTGAGTGAAATAAGCCAGACACAGAAAGTCAAGGGCTGTATGTTTTCTCTCATATGTGGTAACAAGGTGGTGGAGGGGAGGGGTGGTGCTGGTGGTGGTTCATGATAATAACAGAAGGAAAACAAGCCCAATAATAGAGGAGCAGAAGATGGGGATGGATGTGTGAAATCAAAATGTGTTATGTGATGTATGAATATATCACAGTGAACCCCAATATTATGTATAACTATAATATAGCAATAAAAATTAATAAGAGTTTTCCATTCTTCGTATCTGGAGTGGCTTCTGTTTCCTGACCAAATTATAATTAATATGGTTATGTAACCTTCTGTGTTAGATCATTCTGTTATCTATGGATACACATATGCCTTCATTATTTTATTTTTGTTATTGATTACTGTGGAAGACATTATTAGTTTTACCAATAGCCATTCTCTCAATTTCCTTTTACTAACAAAATCCAATTTTGGTTACCCTGGAAAAGCCGCTGACCCAAATCTTAACCTCCCCGTCTCCCCTGCAGTTAGGGGAAACACTATTCTGCTAAAGAGATATAAAGGGAAGTCCATCTGAGATTTCTGGGTCAGTCTTTCTTATCAACCCCTTGTCCTTTTCTCTTTCCACCTGGAACAAAGGGATGCGTTTGCCTTGTAGCGGCACCCCCTCCTCCACAGAAAATCTTAATTAAGCTTCTCCAGAGACCCTCACCATAACTGTTCATAGACTCTCAGCAAAATTTCTGCAAACAAATTTTCAGGCGGGGGATATGCCAGCAGAAGCAGAGTGTGATAAGAAAGACTAACCCAAAGGCCTTTGCATTTCAAAGTTAGTTAGGTCCTTGAAAGCCAGCTGGTGGGGAAAGGAGGAGGAAAACTCTCTTTCCCAAGCACTGATTTTTCACAGACGGCTTCCTTGGGGGTTATTTTTGTAAAACCTGGCCTGAGTTGGGAGCCAAGAAGAATGAGAAAATACCTCCTGCTATGTGGACTTCTGCAGATTGTGAACCTCTGAGCCCCTCCCCCTATACACTGGGTCTAAAGTTCTAAAACTTCCTGAACTCCGTGTTCAGGGGGATTGATGGATCGTAGTGAAAGCTCTTTTCCCTCTGAACCTGGCTGCAGCCAATAAACCTACTTCCTGCTACATCCTTGGTATCCACCCTTGTCTGTCCCACAACAGTACCACAGGGGAACAGTAGGACCAAAGTCACTAAAGGAGTCTGGGATGTTGGTGGCACCATGGAACTGCCTCAGCAGTCTGGAATGTTGGTCTCTCTCTCTTTTTTTTTTTTTTGTTACGTTAGAAGGATCAATATCCATTTTGTTAAGCTGTTACAGTGGTATCTCTCACACTCCTAACTGCAACTCCCTACCTGATACACTGCATTCATATTTTAACTTTCGAAATTATTTCCTTTAACTAAATTCCCAGAAGGAAATCACCACATCGAATGAGGTATAAACATATGCAAATCTGGGATGTATATTCTGAATTACTTTCCAAAGGAAACACATCAATCTATATGGCCACATCATCCTTAGAAACTGTATATTCTGGAAAGGGACCTTGTAGGTATTTTCTAATTTAATTATCTTGCTACTTGGTTTCCATTTTGATTAGTAATCTGAGATACTGCTGGGAGTTTCCAAGCTCAGAGGCTACATGGTGATAAAAACCTCTGTGGGAGCCCTCCTAAAAGCAGTGTTATCTTCTTCCAAAATAATTCTCTTGCTGCCCCAATTAGACAACAGTGATCAGCAAGACAGAGCAATGAGAAGATGAGAAACTGTAGAAGATGACCAGGAGACCAGTGTGGCCAAAGACATCCCAACAGCTTAGGAACCACTGTATATTCAAAAGATAGAGAGCAAAACTAGGAGATCTTGGATCATGTCTAGTCTCTCTCTTAAGGCTGGGAGGTTGTACATTTGTCACTTAAATTCTGTGAGCCTCAGTTTGTTTACCTTGAAAAATGAGAACGGCATCATTCTGTATTAGATTAAATAACACACGTGGACATAACTTATAAATTATAAGGAAGTTTAAATATAATTGGTTGTCTGTTCTTATAATGATTGCTTTTATTATTCTGAATAGGATTAAAATGTTTAGGGTATGATTGGAACAAGTTTCTTCCTTCCATATTTAAGATCAGGCATAATTTTCATAATTGATTGCTATTTAATTATTTGTCATCTTTGACACACACAGGCAACTGCACAGGTACATATACATAGATTGCTCATGCCTTGAGGTCGGTGTACACAGTAACTCCTATGGCACATATGAAGGGGCCTTTGTCATTAATTTTTTTGTATTCTTATGGTCTTGGCTATATTAAATAGGATTAAAGGAGTTGCAATTTCATCATGAGATTGAGTTTATAAGCAGGAAGGAGATTCCAAAGGCTTGAAGATAAGAAAGCTGCTCCATATGAGGAAGAAAGTCGGTCTCACCCATGTTCTGTCTCACACATATTCAGGCAGCTTTCCGGCCTATAGAGATGGGGGAATTTGGGAAAAAAGTGAATGAACTTCCCTGATGACTGGAAAATAAAATCGTGGAATTGCACAAGAGAAAAACATCATGAGGTTTTTCTTGCTTTTTTGATACTTTTCAGTTTGGACATTCAGAAAGTTGATTTTTAAAAAAAAAAGAAGCAGAAAAAGCAACTTTACTTCTTTCTCACTGTTGAGTTTGAGATGAGTCAACTCACTAAGGAAGAGAGATGCTTAATTATTACCTGAACATTATTATTGATGAATCCAGAAAACGGCCCCCAGCAAAAGTGGCATAAATACACTACAGGATTTCGAGGGGGAGTGTGCAGGGCAATGACTTATGTTACTAATTCATGGGAAAAGAGGTGAGGCTGCATTAAGTAGGGGTTGGTGTGAGTTAAGAATTAACGCTCCTGCCATTCCTAAGCATTTGCATTTCATTTAGCCTGATAGTTAAATATTTTATCAATATGACTGATTCCAACTAATGGTTGAATATTTTATCAATATGACTGATTCCAACTAATGTTTATATTTAACACATTTGAAAATAAACTCAATTTTTATACAAGAGCTTGGTAATGTGAAGAAACATGCCTCTCTCTTTATTCCCACTGATCTGAGAAATCAACCTGAAGGTACCTCTAAGGCCTCCCTCTCTTCTGGTGCCATGTTGTGCCTGCAGCAAATGCCGGTTGACATTTATTGTGCAGTGACTGTCTGCCCAGTGACATTCCAGATGGGACTGTTTTATTGCTGGCTTCACATCAGACTCATAAAGTAGGCATTG